GATTAGATATCTCAACTCAATTGCTCAAACAATCATATGCTTAAAATTCCCCCAAATCGGTCCACCCAGCAGTATGAATGGGTACACACCACAGTTAGTCAATCAGCAGGTCACGTGCGGTGGGTTAAAAGGTGTTGTGTTCCCACCTCTTGCCAGCGTCGAAGAATAGGCCAAATACCTTCTCGGGGGGCTCTCTAGAGCACCTCCTAGTGAATGTTGTGGCAGCAGTAGTAAGAACAAGCATTTGCAGAGCTGCACCTTTGTCTTTTATAGAATGACAACATGCCTTATGATTTTCTGTAAGTACAATGCTGAGTTGTTGGAAGGAGGAATGACAAACCTGTAAGATTGGCGTTACGGCTATTTTGAGAAGTCCAGAAAGCAATGTTGTCGGAGGGCTGAGATGAAAAATATCACTTCATTTGTTCTGAGCAATCAGTTTGTAGAGTGGAGAAGTGGCGCAGTAGTTCAAATACACTACACTATAGCATGGCCCCTTGAGTTCAATTCCTGGCAATGGAAAGTAATACCTGAACTAACTTGAACTGACCACCATGGTCAAGTATAACAAAATAACCCCCATGACAGACATCCTCAATCAGGAGTGAACTGACAAAGAGCTGAAAATGCAAGGTTATTTTTTTATCGCTACACATACTTGGCTCACATTGCAAGTCAATTAGTTGTCAGTTGACTTAGAAGAAGTTATGTTGGCTCTAAACAATAGTTTAGCAGGTGTCGGCAACTTGTGGCTTCGAACCCTGCACATGATGAACAATCTCATATTCTTTTCGATTTAAAGCTTTCGTGACTGCAAGGATTCATCTTCTTTGGTTCTTTGGGTAAAGTCACGTAGAATGAGAATAAAATAATAAATTGATAAAATAAAATAACAATAATATTATTGTGTTATTTTATTTATTGTGTTGTTTTATTTTATCAATTTATTATTTTATTCTCATTCTACGTGACTTTACCGAAAGAACCAAAGAAGATGAATCTCATATTCGTTAAATGATGATTTGTATGTGGCTTATGAGTTTCCTCACAATATTTATCTATAAATATAAAAATAGGCAAACGTAAAAATAAGTAAAAAAAATGACTGGTTGCTTCTAGGAGACTTCTCAAAGAAATTGTCAAAGAAACTGTGATAGGCCCAAATATTCCTGGCTGCTGCCATTATGTGAAATATTATAGGAGATTAAGACTTATTTTGTTCTATAGTTGTGTGACCACACTTCCCCATTCTTGGAAATGCACTGGGCGCTATATACATCTGGAATAGAATTGGTGGAGAATGGGGCGGGGGAGCCAAGAACCGGCTTAGATCTCAATCGCCACTGATATGCAAAGTCAGGTGACGTACCTGCAGAAAGGCCTGGTTCTGTGATTCGTCTATATAAACACGGCAGGTGAGAGGCGCCGCCAGAGCATCCGACGTAGCTGATGCTCTTTCGACACTGCGTCGTCAGGTGAGCGTTTCATTTGGACATAAAATAGAATAATCTTCACACAAGCTAGCTACAATCAGGCACGCAGCACTATGTGTGTATCTAACATGTAGTACGTGATTTTTACCCCTCATGGTGAGGTATAATAATTAATATTTCGATGAACATTTGTTTTTCTGAATGATTATTACATACTTATATCGCTGTTTCAATGCCATGATAGGCTTCACTGTAGGTGCTGACTATAGCTTAACATGCAGTGTTCTTTAAGCCATTCAGGAGGGAGATTTGATTGCATTTCATGAATACTTATTTTATTTTATCGGGCAATCACCTAGTTATAAAGATCGTGTATGTTATTTTATTATTATTATTATTTATTTTATTATTGTATACGTAGTAGTTATAACAATTCTAAGTGCTGAGTCGTTATACTATAGATAACTTAGCAATTTGCATTACTATTTAAAGTGCATATCACAAAACACATGATGTATCATGGCTTTCCATGCTGTTTTGTTGACATGTATACATTCTTACAGGCTATATAAGCATGCTGCATAGATATCGCATACAGTGTGAAACCAGGTGAAATCTCATTGAGCTTAATAAAGTACATAATAGGAGGTAAAGTAATTAATGTAACAGATGCATGCAAAAAAGTGTGTCCCAAGGATATATTTTTTGTACTCTAGATATTATTATTATGTTTGTAAGTTACAGTTGCACATCAAGCGGCTGATTTTTTTTATGGCTTTCAGTGGAAAGGCATTTCCATTAAGCACAAGATTCAATAGTTAAACAAACATACATTTTCAATGTGATAATTTGCAACACTCATCTGCTCTTTATGTGATAACATTTTTAAGCATAAAATAAGTGAAACATAAAGCTGGTGTAACAAATTTAGTATCTTCATTCCAAACTTAATTTTTGTTACAGTATTTGTGTACGAAATTAAATAATAATTTGACCATAAATGTGAAGGTAATTGTCACCTCCTTTGCATTTATATCACTTTACCTTGAGTGATTGCTCCTTTTCTCTCTCAGATATCAACTTACAATGTCCGTGGATGTAGAGACATAAAGGCCTGAATTTTTCCTTCTTAGGAACCTCTGTCTTGTAAGCCATCTGGCTACCATGAGAGATTCGTTCATGAGGCTATCCACATATACAAACACAGAGACAATTTCAACCGAGAAGATGGATTCTGGCTTAGCAATCTTTGGAAGGATTTGATAAACCATTTCGGGTCTTAATTGATTGATCACGCTTACGGTGGCTTTCAGACCGCATCCATTATTTTCGTCTCCCCCCTCCTCTTTTCCGAACATAGATGGGCTCGTCCATCTGAATAACTGACAAATCGCTCTCCGTGGTGCTAACGTTAAAAAAACCGCCACTTTTTTCAAATTTTCTTGCTGTGGTTTTCACACCTGATGATGATTGCTTGTGTTGCAGTCGAAACGTCGTGAGAATTGTATTGTTTTATATTTGTATTATTTTGTTTCCCTTCTACGTGACTTTACCGAAAGAACCAAGAATATGAATCCCTGCAGTCACGAAAGCTTAAAATCAAAATTTACATTACCTTGTTAAATGTCTTTACATTAACAGGTTAAATGTCTCACTAACATAGCTGCTGCTCCCTTTTCCTCGATGCGACGGTGGTGCGCGTTGTTTAATAGGCTGAATGTCTCTCTCATTAACACAGCCGCTGCTGTGGAAGCCGTCTCACATTGACATGTTAATCTCTCATCTCGAGCAATGCAATGGCTTCTTCAGCACCGTAGCCGTGGGATGACATTAACAGATTGACATGCTAATCTCTAGCAACACAATGGCCGAGGTATACCTAGCGCTGCGATCTTACATTTACTTGCAAATTCCATCTCTAGCCCCGCCCACTTACCCTTGGGTTGTACCCACCTCAAACCGTTATAACCTTTGGCTGCAGTAGCTCTCTCGCGATATTTCTTCCTGCCTCAGCAGTCCGCCTGCTGTGTTTTTTCACCTGAACACGATTGCTCGTGTTGCGATCAAAACATCGTGGATTTTCTAATTATTTTATTATTTTTCTATCTACGTAACTTTACCGAAAGACCCCTGCAGTCACGAAAGCTTTAAGTCACTATTCCAAATTAAAATTAAAGCATTTCATAAATTCAATCATCGATGTTCATTGTACATACAAATTAAGCGAAGATGGTGAATAGGATATATTTATGCTTTTCAATGCAGTTTAAGTAATCTACCTGACTAAAGCTCGAACCACGAACAAATAATTTGGCATCACTATTGAATAATTTATAGAGTTTGATGTTCTGAGATGTCGATATCCAAAAAGTGTGCATTTTTCAATAATCGTATATCTTGCCATTAAATCAACACTAGATTGCCCAAGTGGTTTCCAGTTTCCTGGCTTCATGACAACCAAACATGGCAGTTTGAATCCCATGCACATTGGCTCGATTGAATGCTATTCTTTCGTCCAATGTGGATTTTTTACGTACTTCTCTCAGTAACTAAAATAACAATTGTGCTTTTCTATCTACATGATGAACAAATTAATATCAGTGACTGATATCTGATTCGGTTCTGGGCTTACCTCGATTGACTCAGCCTCAAATGAGAACATGGTGGGGTGTATAAAGATCAGAACTGGGGATAAAAAACAGTGGCGCTGACCATCAACCCTCTATTGTGCTGTGTCAGCATTCATAGGTGCTCTCTAACAGTGCTTGCCCCAACAGTGGGGGTCTTTATCTTTGTTTAATCCAAGGTGCGAGTAAAACCAGGGCATGATGTTGTCTGGTGTCATTGTGGTCCTCGTCCTCACGATCCAGGCTGTGGCAGCTCAGCAAGGTATGATGATACAATCCCACCACTCTGTCAGAATGTGCAATTCACGCTCTATACAGCACTCATAAGGACGTTCGATTTCACGGGACAAGTTATCACAAATCAATGCCTTAATGACACAAATATAGAAATCATAAAACCCTTTACAAGAAATCCAAGACATTTATAATTAACAGTAAAGCAATATAACCTTTTACCCTTAGATCCATGCTAGGATCAGATATTGACATGCACTTGGACAACAGAATGAAAACGTATTTCTTTAGAACAGATGTTTGTGTTTAGTTTGTTTTACTTCCCCCGCGCCTCCGATTAGCACGGTTGGCAACATACCGTGCGAAAAGAAGTTCAACATACATGCATACAAGATGCTTGTTATTTGCAGGGATATGCATGTAATGTAAATCTATGCATCATACATATTAACGGTTATTCAGATTTTATCAATGTACAACTCAGTTACAAATGTAAGGGTGTCCAGACGAGTCATCCTTGGCTCCATGCAGCACAAGCATACTCTTGTATATTTTAATAAAAGTTCCGAATGTTATTTTTCTAATATTAAATGGTAATGTTTTGCTGTATATTATATGAATGACAAAATGTTCATTCAGTTTTTTTTTTACTTTTGTCGGTCAATTTAATACAACTTTTAAAATTAGCAATCTTAATTGGTTACAGCTCAAACAAGTACATCAACCACTACAAGGCAGCCAACAACCCAAGCCCCTGGTGAGTATAAATTTGTCAATAAATGGCGATGCAAATTCATACATTTTTAAAATCAAAAGATGGTTGTAAATGGAGGTCTATGTAATATGCATAATAAAGAACACATTTTAAAAATATTGACTTTTCAAATCATCAAAGTTAGGAAAGAATAAACATAATAATCGCACAATGGTATATAGTGAAGCTTGCCAATGTATTCAGTGTACGTTTCTTTAATCCGCAGAGACATCCATTCGCCTGGTTGGAGGAGGAGGAGGCCCATGTCAAGGCAGAGTGGAGGTCCTCTATAATGGCTCCTGGGGCACGGTCTGTGATGATTACTGGAACATCAATGATGCCCAGGTTGTCTGCCGAAAGGTCGGCTGTGGAGCTGCTCTTTCTGCCCAATCATATGCCTACTTTGGTCAGGGCAATGGCACCATCTGGCTGGATGATGTGACATGCAATGGGTCGGAGTCCTCTCTAGGAAATTGTCCTCACCTGCCATGGGGGCAACACAACTGTGTTCATGCTGAAGATGCTGGTGTCATTTGCAGTGGTGGGTACATCTCAAAATATGTTTGTTTAACGCTTTAAGTGCTAAAATGCGTCAAATATATAAAGGTAATATTACAATGAGTTTATTTTATATAGTTACCAGGACCGGTTCAAATAATCGTCACCGGCGGTGGCCCTGAGCAGGAATCGAACTTGGGTCGCCGGGTTCGTAGCGCAGCGCACAAATCGCTACGCAGTCGCTGCCCTCCCCCCACACACTCAGGATAAAGACAAAGATCCCCCATGTAGCCTGTGAGACTGCAGGGGGCAAGTGCTGTTAGCGAGCACCTATTAAGGCCGGCACGGCACACGAAGGGGGTGGGTGGCCAGCACCACGCCCGGCCGCCTTTGTCTCCCCAGTGGCGATGTTTACACACCACACGAGTTACTCGTTTGAAGCTGAGTCGACCTAGGGGAGGCCCAGGACCGGTTAACATAATTGTCACCGGTGGTGGCCGTGAGGGAATCGAACTCGGGTCGCCGGGTTCGTAGCGCGGCGCGCTAACCACTACACTACAATGCGTTACGCTTCCACACACACACAGACACACACACAGACACATACACACAGCGCGCTAACCACTACACTACAATGCGTTACGCTTCCACACACACACACAGACACACAGACACACACAGACACACACACAGCGCGCTAACCACTACACTACAATGCGTTACGCTTCCACACACAGACAGACAGACACACAGACACATACACACAGCGCGCTAACCACTACACTACAATGCGTTACGCTTCCACGCGTGCGGGTCACATGACAAATTTGACGTCACAGCTCACTTGCCGTGCAAAAAATATGCATTATTGAGCTCCCCCCCCCCCCAAAAAAGTGTATTTTTATAATGTTTGCATGGTGTCCAGTCTGGAAAGTACCCACATGGCAAATTTCAAGTTTGTTGCATGTCGGGAAGTACGCTAAGCCTTTTGAACTGACACACATTCACAAATGTCCCTTTTATATACATAAACTATTGGCTTTTTACAATCACCATCTCTCCAGAATCAGCGATTCGGCTGATTGGAGGAGGAAGCTCATGTCAAGGCAGAGTGGAAGTCCTCTATTCTGGGTCCTGGGGCACGGTCTGTGATGATTTCTGGGACATCAATGATGCCCAGGTTGTCTGTCGCATGGTTGGCTGTGGAGTTGCTCTTTCTGCCCCATCAAATACCTATTTTGGCCAGGGTATTGGCACAATCTGGTTGGATGATGTCAGATGCAATGGTTCTGAATCCTTTCTGGGACCATATTCTCATCGCCCATGGGGCCAGCATGACTGTAGCCACAGTGAAGATGCTAGTGTCATTTGCAGCGGTGTGTACATCTCAAAATGTTTTAATAAAAGTTCCAAATGTTCTTTTTCTAATATTAAATGGTAATGTTTTGCTGTATATTATATGAATGACAAAATGGTCATTCAGTTTTTTTTTACTTTTGTCGGTCAATTAAATACAACTTTTAAAATTAGCAATCTTAATTGGTTACAGCTCAAACAAGTGCATCAACCACTACAAGGCAGCCAACAACCCAAGCCCCTGGTGAGTATAAATTTGTCAATAAATGGCGATGCAAATTCATACATTTTTCAAATCAAAAGATGGTTGTAAATGAAGGTCTATGTAACATGCATAACAAAAAACACATTTAAAAAAAGTTGACTTTCAAATAATCAAAGTTAGGAAAGAATAAACATAAGAATCTCACAATGGTATATAGTGAAGCTCGCCAATTTATTCAGTGTGCATATCTTTAATCCACAGAGACAGCCATTCGCCTGGTTGGAGGAGGAGGAGGCCCATGTCAAGGCAGAGTGGAGGTCCTCTATAATGGCTCCTGGGGCACGGTCTGTGATGATTACTGGAACATCAATGATGCCCAGGTTGTCTGCCGAAAGGTCGGCTGTGGAGCTGCTCTTTCTGCCCAATCATATGCCTACTTTGGTCAGGGCAATGGCACCATCTGGCTAGATGATGTGACATGCAATGGGTCGGAGTCCTCTTTAGGAAATTGTCCTCACCTGCCATGGGGGCAACACAACTGTGTTCATGCTGAAGATGCTGGTGTCATTTGCAGTGGTGGGTACATCTCAAAATATGTTTGTTTAACGCTTTAAGTGCTAAAATGCGTCAAATATATAAAGGTAATATTATAATGAGTTTATTTTATATAGTTACCAGGACCGGTTCAAATAATCGTCACCAGCGGTGGCTGTGAGCAGGAATCGAACTTGGGTCGCCGGGTTCGTAGCGCAGCGCACAAATCGCTACGCAGTCGCTGCCCTCCCCCCACACACTCAGGATAAAGACAAAGATCCCCCATGTAGCCTGTGAGACTGTCGGGGGCAAGTGCTGTTAGCGAGCACCTATGAAGGCCGGCACGGCACACGGAGGGGGTGGGTGGCCAGCACCACGCCCGGCCGCCTTTGTCTCCCCAGTGGCGATGTTCACACACCACACGAGTTACTCGTTTGAGGCTGAGTCGACCTAGGGGAGGCCCAGGACCGGTTAACATAATTGTCACCGGTGGAGGCCGTGAGGGAATCGAACTCGGGTCGCCGGGTTCGTAGCGCGGCACGCTAATCACTACACTACAATGCGTTACGCTTCCACACACAGACAGACACACACACAGACACACACAGACACACACACACAGACACACACACACAGACACACACACAGACACACACACACAGACACACACACAGACAGACACACAGACACACACATACACAGCTTGCTAACCACTACACTACAATGCGTTACGCTTCCACACACACAGACAGACACAGTGCGCTAACCACTACACTACAATGCGTTACGCTTCCACGTGCGTGGGTCACATGACAGATTTGACGTCACAGCTCACTTGCCGTGCAAATAAAAATGCATTATTGAGCTCCCCCCCCCCAAAAAAAGTGTATTTTTATAATGTTTGCATGGTGTCCAGTCTGGAAAGTACCCACATGGCAAATTTCAAGTTTGTTGCATGTCGGGAAGTACGCTAAGCCTTTTGAACTGACACACATTCACAAATTTCCCTTTTATATACATAAACTATTGGCTTTTTACAATCACCATCTCTCCAGAATCAGCGATTCGGCTGATTGGAGGAGGAAGCTCATGTCAAGGCAGAGTGGAAGTCCTCTATTCTGGGTCCTGGGGCTCGGTCTGTGATGATTTCTGGGACATCAATGATGCCCAGGTTGTCTGTCGCATGGTTGGCTGTGGAGTTGCTCTTTCTGCCCCATCAAATACCTACTTTGGCCAGGGTATTGGCACAATCTGGTTGGATGATGTCAGATGCAATGGTTCTGAATACTTTCTGGGACCATGTTCTCATCGCCCATGGGGACAGCATGACTGTAGCCACAGTGAAGATGCTAGTGTCATTTGCAGCGGTGTGTACATCTCAAAATATGTTTTAATAAAAGTTCCAAATGTTCTTTTTCTAATATTAAATGGTAATGTTTTGCTGTATATTATATGAATGACAAAATGGTCATTCAGTTTTTTTTTACTTTTGTCGGTCAATTAAATACAACTTTTAAAATTAGCAATCTTAATTGGTTACAGCTCAAACAAGTGCATCAACCACTACAAGGCAGCCAACAACCCAAGCCCCTGGTGAGTATAAATTTGTCAATAAATGGCGATGCAAATTCATACATTTTTCAAATCAAAAGATGGTTGTAAATGAAGGTCTATGTAACATGCATAACAAAAAACACATTTAAAAAAAGTTGACTTTCAAATAATCAAAGTTAGGAAAGAATAAACATAAGAATCTCACAATGGTATATAGTGAAGCTCGCCAATTTATTCAGTGTGCACAGAGACAGCCATTCGCCTGGTTGGAGGAGGAGGAGGCCCATGTCAAGGCAGAGTGGAGGTCCTCTATAATGGCTCCTGGGGCACGGTCTGTGATGATTACTGGAACATCAATGATGCCCAGGTTGTCTGCCGAAAGGTCGGCTGTGGAGCTGCTCTTTCTGCCCAATCATATGCCTACTTTGGTCAGGGCAATGGCACCATCTGGCTGGATGATGTGACATGCAATGGGTCGGAGTCCTCTTTAGGAAATTGTCCTCACCTGCCATGGGGGCAACACAACTGTGTTCATGCTGAAGATGCTGGTGTCATTTGCAGTGGTGGGTACATCTCAAAATATGTTTGTTTAACGCTTTAAGTGCTAAAATGCGTCAAATATATAAAGGTAATATTATAATGAGTTTATTTTATATAGTTACCAGGACCGGTTCAAATAATTGTCACCAGCGGTGGCTGTGAGCAGGAATCGAACTTGGGTCGCCGGGTTCGTAGCGCAGCGCACAAATCGCTACGCAGTCGCTGCCCTCCCCCCACACACTCAGGATAAAGACAAAGATCCCCCATGTAGCCTGTGAGACTGTCGGGGGCAAGTGCTGTTAGCGAGCACCTATGAAGGCCGGCACGGCACACGAAGGGGGTGGGTGGCCAGCACCACGCCCGGCCGCCTTTGTCTCCCCAGTGGCGATGTTCACACACCACACGAGTTACTCGTTTGAGGCTGAGTCGACCTAGGGGAGGCCCAGGACCGGTTAACATAATTGTCACCGGTGGAGGCCGTGAGGGAATCGAACTCGGGTCGCCGGGTTCGTAGCGCGGCACGCTAATCACTACACTACAATGCGTTACGCTTCCACACACAGACAGACACACACACAGACACACACAGACACACACACACAGACACACACACACAGACACACACACACACACAGACACACACACACAGACAGACACACAGACACACACATACACAGCTTGCTAACCACTACACTACAATGCGTTACGCTTCCACACACACAGACAGACACAGTGCGCTAACCACTACACTACAATGCGTTACGCTTCCACGTGCGTGGGTCACATGACAGATTTGACGTCACAGCTCACTTGCCGTGCAAATAAAAATGCATTATTGAGCTCCCCCCCCCCCAAAAAAGTGTATTTTTATAATGTTTGCATGGTGTCCAGTCTGGAAAGTACCCACATGGCAAATTTCAAGTTTGTTGCATGTCGGGAAGTACGCTAAGCCTTTTGAACTGACACACATTCACAAATTTCCCTTTTATATACATAAACCATTGGCTTTTTACAATCACCATCTCTCCAGAATCAGCGATTCGGCTGATTGGAGGAGGAAGCTCATGTCAAGGCAGAGTGGAAGTCCTCTATTCTGGGTCCTGGGGCACGGTCTGTGATGATTTCTGGGACATCATTGATGCCCAGGTTGTCTGTCGCATGGTTGGCTGTGGAGTTGCTCTTTCTGCCCCATCAAATGCCTACTTTGGCCAGGGTATTGGCACCATCTGGTTGGATGATGTCAGATGCAATGGTTCTGAATCCTTTCTGGGACCATGTTCTCATCGCCCATGGGGACAGCATGACTGTAGCCACAGTGAAGATGCAAGTGTCATTTGCAGCAGTGTGTACATCTCAAAATATGTTTTAATAAAAGTTCCAAATGTTATTTTTCTAATATTAAATGGTAATGTTTTGCTGTATATTATATGAATGACAAAATGTTCATTCAGTTTTTTTACTTTGTCGGTCAATTAAATACAACTTTTAAAATTAGCAATCTTAATTGGTTACAGCTCAAACAAGTGCATCAACCACTACAAGGCAGCCAACAACCCAAGCCCCTGGTGAGTATAAATTTGTCAATAAATGGCGATGCAAATTCATACATTTTTAAAATCAAAAGATGGTTGTAAATGGAGGTCTATGTAATATGCATAATAAAGAACACATTTTAAAAATATTGACTTTTCAAATCATCAAAGTTAGGAAAGAATAAACATAATAATCGCACAATGGTATATAGTGAAGCTTGCCAATGTATTCAGTGTACATTTCTTTAATCCGCAGAGACAGCCATTCGCCTGGTTGGAGGAGGAGGAAGCCCATGTCAAGGCAGAGTGGAGGTCCTCTTTAATGGCTCCTGGGGCACGGTCTGTGATGATTACTGGGACATGAATGATGCCCAGGTTGTCTGCCGAAAGATCGGCTGTGGAGCTGCTCTTTCTGCCCCATCAAATGCCTACTTTGGTCGGGGCAATGGCACCATCTGGCTGGATGATGTCAGATGCAATGGTTCTGAATCCTTTCTGGGACCATGTTCTCATCGCCCATGGGGCCAGCATGACTGTAGCCACAGTGAAGATGCTAGCGTCGTTTGCAGCGGTGTGTACATCTCAAAATATGTTTTAATATAAGTTCCAAATGTATTTTTTTTATATTAAATGGTAATGTTTTGCTGTATATTGTATACATTACAAAATGTTCATACAGTATGTTGAATTTTATTGGTCAATTAAATACCATTTTTAAAGTGAGAAATCTTAATTGGTTACAGCTCAAACAAGTACATCAACCACTACAAGGCAGCCAACAACTCAACCCCCTGGTGAGTATAAATTTGTCAATAAATGGAGATGCAAATTCATACCTTTTTAAAATCAAAAGTTCGTTTTAAATGGATGTCTATCTAATATGCATAACAACCACATTTTTAAAAAGGTTGACTTTTCAAATAATCAACGTTAGGAAAAAATAAACATAAGGATCTCACAACAGTGTATAGTAAAGCTTGCCAATGTATTCAGTGTACATTTCTTTAATGCACAGAGACAGCCATTCGCCTGGTTGGAGGAGGAGGAAGCCCATGTCAAGGCAGAGTGGAGGTCCTCTATGCTGGGTCCTGGGGCACGGTCTGTGATGATTTCTGGGACATCAATGATGCCCAGGTTGTCTGCCGAAAGGTCGGCTGTGGAGCTGCTCTTTCTGCCCCATCAAATGCCTACTTTGGTCAGGGCAATGGCACCATCTGGCTGGATGATGTGACATGCAATGGATCCGAAGCCTCTCTAGGAAATTGTCCTCACCTGCCATGGGGGCAACACAACTGTGTTCATGCTGAAGATGCTGGTGTCATTTGCAGTGGTGTGTACATCTCAAAATATATTTTGTTAAAACTTTAAGTGCTAATATGCTTCCAATATATATAAGTTATATTACAATGACAAAGTATATTATATATAGTACTGTATATTTATGAATTTCACTGGCCATACCTCAGATAAAGGAAAACACATTTTAACATTCACTTTTTTGGTTGCAGCTCAAACAAGCTCATCACCCACTACAAGGCAGCCGACTTCTCAACCAATTGGTGAGTTTAGACTTTTTAATTGATCTAAAATTGATACGTCCTCCAATGGAAGTGTGGTTCCAAATGGGAGCATGTGTGATATATTGACGTTCATCAATCACTTTCTCTCCAGAATCAGCGATTCGCCTTGTTGGAGGAGGAGGCCCATGTCAAGGCAGAGTGGAAGTCTTCTATTCTGGGTCCTGGGGCACGGTCTGTGATGATTTCTGGGACATCATTGATGCCCAGGTTGTCTGTCGTATGGTCGGCTGTGGAGCTGCTCTTTCTGCCCCATCAAATGCCTACTTTGGTCAGGGCATTGGCACCATCTGGCTGGATGATGTCAGATGCAATGGTTCTGAATCCTTTCTGGGACCATGTTCTCATCGCCCATGGGGACAGCATGACTGTAGCCACAGTGAAGATGCTAGCGTCGTTTGCAGCGGTGTGTACATCTCAAAATATGTTTTAATAAAAGTTCCAAATGTATTTTTTTAATATTAAATGGTAATGTTTTGCTGTATATTGTATACATTACAAAATGTTCATACAGTATGTTGAATTTTATTGGTCAATTAAATACCATTTTTAAAGTGAGAAATCTTAATTGGTTACAGCTCAAACAAGTACATCAACCACTACAAGGCAGCCAACAACTCAACCCCCTGGTGAGTATAAATTTGTCAATAAATGGAGATGCAAATTCATACCTTTTTAAAATCAAAAGTTCGTTTTAAATGGATGTCTATCTAATATGCATAACAACCAAATTTTTAAAAAGGTTGCCTTTTCAAATCATCAACGTTAGGAAAAAATAAACATAAGGATCTCACAATAGTGTATAGTAAAGCTTGCCAATGTATTCAGTGTACATTTCTTTAATCCGCAGAGACAGCCATTCGCCTGGTTGGAGGAGGAGGAAGCCCATGTCAAGGCAGAGTGGAGGTCCTCTATGCTGGGTCCTGGGGCACGGTCTGCGATGATTTCTGGGACATCAATGATGCCCAGGTTGTCTGCCGAAAGGTCGGCTGTGGAGCTGCTCTTTCTGCCCCATCAAATGCCTACTTTGGTCAGGGCAATGGCACCATCTGGCTGGATGATGTGACATGCAATGGATCCGAAGCCTCTCTAGGAAATTGTCCTCACCTTTCATGGGGGCAACACAACTGTGTTCATGCTGAAGATGCTGGTGTCATTTGCAGTGGTGTGTACATCTCAAAATATGTTTTGTTAAAACTTTAAGTGCTAATATGCTTCCAGTATATAAAGGTTATATTACAATGACAAAGTATATTATATATAGTACTGTATATTTATGAATCTCACTGGCCATACCTCAGATAAAGGAAAACACATTTTAACATTCACTTTTTTGGTTGCAGCTCAAACAAGCTCATCACCCACTACAAGGCAGCCGACATCTCAACCAATTGGTGAGTTTAGACTTTTTAATTGATCTAAAATTGATACGTCCTCCAATGAAAGTGTGGTTACAAATGGGAGCATGTGTGATATCTTGACGTTCATCAATAACTTTCTCTCCAGAATCAGCGATTCGCCTGGTTGGAGGAGGAGGCCCATGTCAAGGCAGAGTGGAAGTCTTCTATTCTGGGTCCTGGGGCACGGTCTGTGATGATTTCTGGGACATCATTGATGCCCAGGTTGTCTGTCGTATGGTCGGCTGTGGAGCTGCTCTTTCTGCCCCATCAAATGCCTACTTTGGTCAGGGCATTGGCACCATCTGGTTGGATGATGTCAGATGCAATGGTTCTGAATCCTTTCTGGGACCATGTTCTCATCGCCCATGGGGACAGCATGACTGTAGCCACAGTGAAGATGCTAGCGTCGTTTGCAGCGGTGTGTACATCTCAAAATATGTTTTAATAAAAGTTCCAAATGTATTTTTTTATATTAAATGGTAATGTTTTGCTGTATATTGTATACATTACAAAATGTTCATACAGTATGTTGAATTTTATTGGTCAATTAAATACCATTTTTAAAGTGAGAAATCTTAATTGGTTACAGCTCAAACAAGTACATCAACCACTACAAGGCAGCCAACAACTCAACCCCCTGGTGAGTATAAATTTGTCAATAAATGGAGATGCAAATTCATACCTTTTTAAAATCAAAAGTTCGTTTTAAATGGATGTCTATCTAATATGCATAACAACCACATTTTAAAAAAGGTTGACTTTTCAAATAATCAACGTTAGGAAAAAATAAACATAAGGATCTCACAATAGTGTATAGTAAAGCTTGCCAATGTATTCAGTGTACATTTCTTTAATCCGCAGAGACAGCCATTCGCCTGGTTGGAGGAGGAGGAAGCCCATGTCAAGGCAGAGTGGAGGTCCTCTATGCTGGGTCCTGGGGCACGGTCTGCGATGATTTCTGGGACATCAATGATGCCCAGGTTGTCTGCCGAAAGGTCGGCTGTGGAGCTGCTCTTTCTGCCCCATCAAATGCCTACTTTGGTCAGGGCAATGGCATCATCTGGCTGGATGATGTGACATGCAATGGATCCGAAGCCTCTCTAGGAAATTGTCCTCACCTTTCATGGGGGCAACACAACTGTGTTCATGCTGAAGATGCTGGTGTCATTTGCAGTGGTGTGTACATCTCAAAATATGTTTTGTTAAAACTTTAAGTGCTAATATGCTTCCAGTATATAAAGGTTATATTACAATGACAAAGTATATTATATATAGTACTGTATATTTATGAATGTCACTGGCCATACCTCAGATAAAGGAAAACACATTTTAACATTCACTTTTTTGGTTGCAGCTCAAACAAGCTCATCACCCACTACAAGGCAGCCGACATCTCAACCAATTGGTGAGTTTAGACTTTTTAATTGATGTAAAATTGATACGTCCTCCAATGAAAGTGTGGTTCCAAATGGGAGCATGTGTGATATATTGACGTTCATCAATCACTTTCTCTCCAGAATCAGCGATTCGCCTGGTTGGAGGAGGAGGCCCATGTCAAGGCAGAGTGGAAGTCTTCTATTCTGGGTCCTGGGGCACGGTCTGTGATGATTTCTGGGACATCATTGATGCCCAGGTTGTCTGTCGTATGGTCGGCTGTGGAGCTGCTCTTTCTGCCCCATCAAATGCCTACTTTGGTCAGGGCATTGGCACCATCTGGCTGGATGATGTCAGATGCAATGGTTCTGAATCCTTTCTGGGACCATGTTCTCATCGCCCATGGGGACAGCATGACTGTAGCCACAGTGAAGATGCTAGCGTCGTTTGCAGCGGTGTGTACATCTCAAAATATGTTTTAATAAAAGTTCCAAATGTATTTTTTAATATTAAATGGTAATGTTTTGCTGTATATTGTATACATTACAAAATGTTCATACAGTATGTTGAATTTTATTGGTCAATTAAATACCGTTTTTAAAGTGAGAAATCTTAATTGGTTACAGCTCAAACAAGTACATCAACCACTACAAGGCAGCCAACAACTCAACCCCCTGGTGAGTATAAATTTGTCAATAAATGGAGATGCAAATTCATACCTTTTAAAAATCAAAAGTTCGTTTTAAATGGATGTCTATCTAATATGCATAACAACCACATTTTTTAAAAAGGTTGCCTTTTCAAATCATCAACGTTAGGAAAAAATAAACATAAGGATCTCACAATAGTGTATAGTAAAGCTTGCCAATGTATTCAGTGTACATTTCTTTAATCCGCAGAGACAGCCATTCGCCTGGTTGGAGGAGGAGGAAGCCCATGTCAAGGCAGAGTGGAGGTCCTCTATGCTGGGTCCTGGGGCACGGTCTGCGATGATTTCTGGGACATCAATGATGCCCAGGTTGTCTGCCGAAAGGTCGGCTGTGGAGCTGCTCTTTCTGCCCCATCAAATGCCTACTTTGGTCAGGGCAATGGCACCATCTGGCTGGATGATGTGACATGCAATGGATCCGAAGCCTCTCTAGGAAATTGTCCTCACCTTTTATGGGGGCAACACAACTGTGTTCATGCTGAAGATGCTGGTGTCATTTGCAGTGGTGTGTACATCTCAAAATATATTTTGTTAAAACTTTAAGTGCTAATATGCTTCCAATATATATCAGTTATATTACAATGACAAAGTATATTATATATAGTACTGTATATTTATGAATTTCACTGGCCATACCTCAGATAAAGGAAAACACATTTTAACATTCACTTTTTTGGTTGCAGCTCAAACAAGCTCATCACCCACTACAAGGCAGCCGACATCTCAACCAATTGGTGAGTTTAGACTTTTTAATTGATCTAAAATTGATACGTCCTCCAATGAAAGTGTGGTTACAAATGGGAGCATGTGTGATATATTGACGTTCATCAATCACTTTCTCTCCAGAATCAGCGATTCGCCTGGTTGGAGGAGGAGGCCCATGTCAAGGCAGAGTGGAAGTCTTCTATTCTGGGTCCTGGGGCACGGTCTGTGATGATTTCTGGGACATCATTGATGCCCAGGTTGTCTGTCGTATGGTCGGCTGTGGAGCTGCTCTTTCTGCCCCATCAAATGCCTACTTTGGTCAGGGCATTGGCACCATCTGGCTGGATGATGTCAGATGCAATGGTTCTGAATCCTTTCTGGGACCATGTTCTCATCGCCCATGGGGACAGCATGACTGTAGCCACAGTGAAGATGCTAGCGTCGTTTGCAGCGGTGTGTACATCTCAAAATATGTTTTAATAAAAGTTCCAAATGTATTTTTTTATATTAAATGGTAATGTTTTGCTGTATATTGTATACATTACAAAATGTTCATACAGTATGTTGAATTTTATTGGTCAATTAAATACCATTTTTAAAGTGAGAAATCTTAATTGGTTACAGCTCAAACAAGTACATCAACCACTACAAGGCAGCCAACAACTCAACCCCCTGGTGAGTATAAATTTGTCAATAAATGGAGATGCAAATTCAAACCTTTTTAAAATCAAAAGTTCGTTTTAAATGGATGTCTATCTAATATGCATAACAACCACATTTTTAAAAAAGGTTGACTTTTCAAATAATCAACGTTAGGAAAAAATAAACATAAGGATCTCACAATAGTGTATAGTAAAGCTTGCCAATGAATTCAGTGTACATTTCTTTAATGCACAGAGACAGCCATTCGCCTGGTTGGAGGAGGAGGAAGCCCATGTCAAGGCAGAGTGGAGGTCCTCTATGCTGGGTCCTGGGGCACGGTCTGTGATGATTTCTGGGACATCAATGATGCGCAGGTTGTCTGCCGAAAGGTCGGCTGTGGAGCTGCTCTTTCTGCCCCATCAAATGCCTACTTTGGTCAGGGCAATGGCACCATCTGGCTGGATGATGTGACATGCAATGGATCCGAAGCCTCTCTAGGAAATTGTCCTCACCTTTTATGGGGGCAACACAACTGTGTTCATGCTGAAGATGCTGGTGTCATTTGCAGTGGTGTGTACATCTCAAAATATATTTTGTTAAAACTTTAAGTGCTAATATGCTTCCAATATATAAAAGTTATATTACAATGACAAAGTATATTATATATAGTACTGTATATTTATGAATTTCACTGGCCATACCTCAGATAAAGGAAAACACATTTTAACATTCAATTTTTTGGTTGCAGCTCAAACAAGCTCATCACCCACTACAAGGCAGCCGACATCTCAACCAATTGGTGAGTAAAGACTTTTAAATTGATCTAAAATTGATACGTCCTCCAATGAAAGTTTGGTTCCAAATGGGAGCATGTGTGATATATTGACGTTCATCAATCACTTTCTCTCCAGAATCAGCGATTCGCCTGGTTGGAGGAGGAGGCCCATGTCAAGGCAGAGTGGAAGTCCTCTATTCTGGGTCCTGGGGCACGGTCTGTGATGATTTCTGGGACATCATTGATGCCCAGGTTGTCTGTCGTATGGTCGGCTGTGGAGCTGCTCTTTCTGCCCCATCAAATGCCTACTTTGGTCAGGGCATTGGCACCATCTGGCTGGATGATGTCAGATGCAATGGTTCTGAATCCTTTCTGGGACCATGTTCTCATCGCCCATGGGGACAGCATGACTGTAGCCACAGTGAAGATGCTAGCGTCGTTTGCAGCGGTGTGTACATCTCAAAATATGTTTTAATAAAAGTTCCAAATGTATTTTTTTTATATTAAATGGTAATGTTTTGCTGTATATTGTATACATTACAAAATGTTCATACAGTATGTTGAATTTTATTGGTCAATTAAATACCATTTTTAAAGTGAGAAATCTTAATTGGTTACAGCTCAAACAAGTACATCAACCACTACAAGGCAGCCAACAACTCAACCCCCTGGTGAGTATAAATTTGTCAATAAATGGAGATGCAAATTCATACCTTTTTAAAATCAAAAGTTAGTTTTAAATGGATGTCTATCTAATATGCATAACAACCACATTTTTAAAAAAGGTTGACTTTTCAAATAATCAACGTTAGGAAAAAATAAACATAAGGATCTCACAATAGTGTATAGTAAAGCTTGACAATTCATTCAGTGTTCATTTCTTGAATCCGCAGAGACAGCCATTCGCCTGGTTGGAGGAAGCCCATGTCAAGGCAGAGTGGAGGTCCTCTATGCTGGGTCCTGGGGCACGGTCTGTGATGATTTCTGGGACATCAATGATGCCCAGGTTGTCTGCCGAAAGGTCGGCTGTGGAGCTGCTCTTTCTGCCCAATCAAATGCCTACTTTGGTCAGGGCAATGGCACCATCTGGCTGGATGATGTGACATGCAATGGGTCGGAGTCCTCTTTAGGAAATTGTCCTCACCTGCCATGGGGGCAACACAACTGTGTTCATGCTGAAGATGCTGGTGTCATTTGCAGTGGTGGGTACATCTCAAAATATGTTTAGTTAAAACTTCAAGCGCTAACATGCATCTAATATACAGAAGGCAATATTACAATGCTAGAGTTTATGATAAATATTACTGCATATGTATGAATTGCACTGTCTATACCTCAGCTAAAGGGAAACCCGTTTTAAAATTTGCTTCATTGATGACAGTTCTAAAAGCACATTACCCACTACAAGGCAGCTGAAAACTCAACCTATTGGCGAGATGGCATTTGTCAGTAAATCGATGTGCATATTCATTCATTTTTTTAAAATCAAAAGTTGGTTGTAATTCGAAGTATATGGAATATTCGTAACAAAAACCACCCATGTAACATCATTGGTAGCAGAATTTTTGTGTATCATTGTCAACATCATCCATACTAATTAAATAATTTATGGCTATTCTCAATCCACTACTGGATAACGGCTTTCCTTTGCCATGTCACTTATTGTGTTATTTGACAATCCATGAACATATTTTTTCACTTTGGTGGAGTTCTTATTCACCTATAATTATATAGTGTCTGTGTTCATAATGGTTATTGCTACTTTAATATAACTACGAAATTTATGCAATGTAAAGTCCTTCTTTTTCATTTTCATTGTAAAATCCAGTGAAAGGACCATATAAAAAAGTAACGATGATGAGTTACGAAACACCATTCTGGTTATTATCTTTAATGGTTTATGATGCAAAATTATACATACAACGCAGAATACAGCAGGAATCCAATAATCCGCGTTGGTTTGGGGGGAAATAATTGCAGATCTTGTCATCAGTTCCCCACCAACATTTAAAGAAAATGTTTTCGCACCAATGCGGTGTGGTGTGGATTGTGTGATGAAAGAGCCACGTGATTCTACTAAAACTCAAAAGAAAATATGGATTACAACTGTGTTATTCGCATTTTCTAGATTTCTTATCCAAGACCAATAAATGCAAACAAATATTTTCTCCTAAAAAAATCACATCAGCACGGCTAGTTTATGTGTTATCATGACGTAATCTAAACATCCATAAAATGGTGTCAAAATATTTGGTTGGCTACGTACATTCCGCAAAGAAGTCCAACGTACATCGTTTTCTAAACAATTACTTTCTGCATTCTGTTCACTCCACAGATCCAACCATTCGCCTGGTTGGAGGAGGAGGGCCATGTCAAGGCAGAGTGGAGGTCCTCTTTGATGGTTCCTGGGGCACGGTCTGTGATGATTCCTGGGATATTAACGATGCCCAGGTCGTCTGTCGCATGGTCGGCTGTGGGGCTGCTATTTCTGCCCCACAAGTTGCCTACTTTGGTCAGGGCAATGGCCCCATATGGCTGGATGATGTCAGTTGCACTGGTTCTGAATCCATCCTGGGATCATGTTCTCATCGCCCATGGGGGCAGCATGACTGCAGCCACATTGAAGATGCAAGTGTCATTTGCAGTGGTGTGTATGTTGCAAAATCTTTCACTAGAATTTAACTAAATGTTTGTACTGTGAGAAAACTTAATTTGCATGTTGTATTATTTCAGTGTCATTCAGTAATGATGGTAATCTTTTCCCCGTTTGTCAACAGCCAATCGCCGGTGCTCTACAGAGCTTAGTAATGCAAATGGAACGATTCTTTCAAGTAACTTTGGCAGCCAGTGTGGTGGGAGTACGCCTTACACGTGGATGATAACAGCATCTCCTGGCAAAGTTCTACTTCTTCAGTTTACCTTGTTGAGGTTTGTATACGATACCACCCAAATGTCACGTTTTCCTATGGCTAAAATACGATGTACATGCCCGTTCGCTTGCACATCTTGGACGCTAGTCAGGGTTGAGCCTGGTTAGCATGTGGATTGAAGGCCACCAGTGCATTCGAAATATTGTAGGTGTGGAGCTGTACGATCTCCCAAAAAAATAACTTGCGCAATGGATTGTTAAATCTATCTGTGCAGAGCTTTGAATTGAACCCTTGAATGAAAAACAGCATCCTCATGCTCAGCGATAATTTCTTGTTAATTAAATAACATTACTTGGATTCACACCGTTTTACAGTTAAGAAGAATGTACTTGTTTATTGTGAATTTTTACAATATTTTATCATTTTTTAATTCCACTGGAACTTTTCTAACAATAAATAATGAATTCCAACTTCCATTGTTAAAATGACATTTTAACAGAAAAATAGGTTCTGCATTTCACACATTGGGGCTTCAGAGCAGAAATAGGGCAGGAATATTAACTGGCTTATCGATTGAGTTGTGCCTTGAAAACACTGAGAAGTTGGAAGAAAGATTATATATGAAAGGCCTGATGCATGCGGAGTTTGTTTCTGTACGTTTCCATAATTTTGTCACACGGATTTGCTGAAAAATGGATTCCAACTAATTAATGTACCGTTCCAATTTTCGCCCAAACATTCTACCAAATTGATGGAACCCTATGTGTGGAGCCCCATTCTACATTTTTTTTCAGAAACTATCAGTATCTGGGAGATTGCTGATGAGATTCTCCATTATTCCAGAAAATGTAATCCACTAAACCACACTCACTTTGGGCCACTCCAAAATTGTGCCATAAGCAGTGGCAGAATGGTTGGGTTTTTTCTTAGAATTGGCCATCATAATTCCAAAAAGTAACATAGTGATATGAAAAATAGATAAATGAATCAAGTGATTTGTAAAAAAAAAAGAGGGCTTTACCTTGTCTGAAAAAATACAGGTATTAAGATGTTCATAGACATTTGAGAAAGTTTTAATTAGGAGTGAATTCAACATGAAGCACACAGCTTAAAGGACGCGACCTGGGCTTGGCTGTTTTCACTCCAACGCTGTCCTCATGACAGCACGGTCCCTTCACCTAGTGATATCCCAAACTTTCACAGCTGCTTATTTCTCTCCACTCATTCACTCCACTCACTCCACTCACTCCAATCACTCACTCACTCCACTCACTCACTCCACTCACTCACTCTACTCACTCCACTCACTCACTCCACTCATTCATTCACGTCGTGATTTTTGTTATTTTATTTTTTACCTTCGTGACTTTACCGAATAGAACCAAAGAGTATGAAGCAAAGATTTCAACTATAATCCCAACAACCTCAGTCCTTGTCAAATATGCAACAGCTACACACGATATCTGAACTTGTCTCAGACCTCCCATAGATCAATTTGGCCTTAAATGAGAATCTGGCATGGCATGCAAACATCAGCACTGAGTCGTGGTCTCCAGTTTCTGTGCAATGCCCGCACTAGTTGGTGCTTGCTATTCGCATTTGCCTCTATAGCCTATTAGGCTAAATGGTGGATCTCTATATTCTTGGTTCTTTCGGTAAAATCACGTTGAAGGGAAACAATAAAATAATAATACATATAAAACAATAAAATTCTCACGATGTTTCGACTGTAACGCAAACAGTCATCATCAGGTGTGAAAAACCAACGGCAAGAAACATTTGAAAGAAGTGTCACTTGGTGGATCTCTGTCTGAGTTAACGTCTGTTTGTGTTGTAGTCTATCCTGTGACTGCTTGAATGAACGTGTGGACATTTACGATGGAAACATCACAACCTCTGACACTAAATTGGCAACATTCTGTGGATCAGATGTCCCACCTGCAATCAGATCTCTCTACTCAAACATAACCTTGGTTTGGACTAAGCAACAAGTATTGGCAGGTTTGTTCCGTAGCATTTTCCACATTTTTGGTACTTGATATTATTCAGTGACTGTGTAAATTATTACAATGAAAATTATGACCCCATAGGTAGGACACAATGGAATTTTTTGCATGTGAAAGCTCCACACCGACTGCTTTTTAAAATATATCAATGTACACCAGGCCTTAATGATTGACTCCCTCTCCCCCAGCAGATTAATGATTTGTCACGATCTGGGATCAAAAGTGGAATTAAGAACCAATTTGTTTTATCCCATATTTAGTCTTGTTTGTATTGTTTATTTTTCTTATTTTTGCATAATTGTTTTGCTCAAGTAGAATAAATGCAGCATGAGTGTAATTTATATAATGTACATAAATAATTTATCGATTTCAATCAATCCATTGTTACATATCCAGTTTGTACATATTCACTATTTTCATTTTCAGGTGTGTATATGTTTGCATGTTTTTTTAAATTTGTTATTCTTATTTTGCTGTCTGATTCTAGGGAGAGGGTTTCAAGTGACGTATACGTCCGTGACACCCTTGGATCCCATTCGTGGTACGCACTTTATTGCATATAATTGTAACATAATATCAGTCTGCACAGAAAATATATACAGGTGCCATTAATCTGTGGTTGTAATTCAGGTGGCAATGCAGCTCTTGTCTTCGACGAATAGAAGCTGCATGGTCAGTTTCATTATTATAGTGTCATCCTCATAACTGAGCGTTGATGCCTATGGCAGATACTTTGAACCATTTGTGATCTTCAGCACCACACACATTGTTCCACGAACTGATCTTCTTCTTCTTCTTCCCTTTTTCGATGATAATTTATCTATGTAGAACCATACTCATTCTTTTTAAGACACTTTTATAATGTGTCCTACTTTTCCATTTGTTTAACATCCCACTTCACAGCTATTGCTGGTTGTATGCTTTTGATCTCAACATGTATTTGATGATAGCAGCTAATTTTTTCAAGGGTTATGTAAACACATGACCTGATGTCTTGTCACACTTGCTCCATGTTGATGTGTTATTGCATATCCCGCTACACTTCACACCAAAGCCTTCGTATCGTAAGTCTCACTTTTCAATTTAATTCGTTTTCATGTGTAAAATATGAAACCTTTTCCGAGATTTAGATCAATCATTTAATATTTTTTGAATTGTTAATTGTTAATGTATTTGCTGCTGACGTCACTCAATCTTTTTATTATTATTTTATTTTTCAGCATGTGGCCAGGGCTCTCTCATTCAGACTCCTTGGCTTGCCAGTCTGGTCAATGGAAACGTTACATGTGATGCAACACTCATCGGCGATAGATGGCTGATAACAGCCGCTCACTGTACCCAGAATGCCAGGTATTTTGCCCCTTTTCTGTAACTCAGAGTATGGTACACGACCATTATTATTGCACAAATTTCTCCTGTACTTTTTATTTTATATCTGTGTAACACCTAGTTTCAAATAGCAGAGTTAAAATGTCATGTACACTGTAATTATTTACTGCCCTATCCATCGGGGGTGTACTTTACCTCACATCAAACATTTTAAAGGGCATCTCCTCTGCAGTGGCAGCTGTTACTGGACACAAGGTGACTCGCCAGTTATAATCCAATTTGGTATTTAAACGTGCAAAAACTCACTTTGTCATTGGTAAGTGGCAGACAATTGCAATTTAAGACACATTTATGGAATCTGTGCTTTGCAATTAGCAGAAGCCTCTGATAAATGCAGTGTCAAATGTATTCTATTTTTTTCTTGGCAAAGCTAGAAACAGACATGTGGTTCTTCAGGTGTGGTCTTTTTGGTGAATCTGTGTGGTGAGCATATCTTGTCTCAAGCTTTTTCCACGCACTACTTCGGGCATCGCCAGAAGTTGAATGCAGGTAAAGTGAAGATGTCCGCAGTAGTGCGTGGCACAAGCATTAGAGAACATGTGATCAACGCGCTGTCTGACATGGAAGACTACACTTGCATTAGGAGTGGGTGAAAACGCTTACAGTATGTGTTCTAATGCGGCGCTGTGTTGTAGCCTGCAGGTTCAAGGTTGGCAGGCTCTGCTGGGCCAGTACCCAGTCAATGGTGTCGTTCGCTTCCTACACAAGTTTGCGGTGCGGAGAATCATCGCACATGGGCAATTCTCCACATCACTCCCACAGGACTATGACTTGGCCCTGGTGGAGTTGGCACGCCGTGTACCCATTTCAGACATCGCCTCACCGGCTTGCGTCCCATCAGACAGCCCTAGTTTCCCCAGCACAACAACAACTTGCTACTTGACCTCCTACCCCGGTGAGACTTCGCTCAGTCAATGTCACCTGCAACTGAACACATACAGCACGAGAACTGCAGCGCCTGACTTGCTGGCAGGGCTTGAGATGTGCAATTGAAAGACGTTTAATTAATTTCGTGCTGTTTATGCATGCAGTTATTAATGCTCGTGTATATTTTAATATTTTTCAGCCTTTGCAAGCGGTGTTACAGTTCGCATCGTCCCACAAATAACCTGTGCATCGTCGAGCAATTATGGATCATCGGTGAATGTGAGGATGCTCTGTGCTGATGTCTCTAGTTACCCATCTGCATGTTGGGTAAGTCACATCTCAGATGCTGTTTAAACAAAATCCGTTCGCTCAGAAAACTGTGTTGTAATTGTGTTTGTAATTCTACACGCTTTGCGATTATTTCCATATCAGCATTTTATAACGATTGTTATTCCTTTTGCAGTGCTGAAAGGATGGTTCGTTAATAAAAAGTTAACTTTACGGTTTGAAAACATTCTGTATGTAGTATTCACATATTTAAATCAGTGCACGCCTTTACAATATTACACTACTTGCAGCAGCATCTCATTATGGCTCCTAGGCAAAATATGCTTTATTTTGATAAAATATTCATACATATATAAAGGTCTAATGTGATAGATATAAACGCATTCAACAATTATTTTGGAAACGCATCTACTTTGGTTGGTCAGATTATTGCAAATGGATTCACCATAATGCTCTTCATTAATGTATCTTGCCATAACTTCCCTTCTTGGCACAAAGAGCCCAACTGCTATGTAATATTGCATGCAGTGTAATACTGCATAGAGTTAAACTTCTCTCATTCATGTCGTAGAATTTCCCACTACTACTGGATGACTTCTTTTGTCTGTGCAGAAAAATGCGCACGTAGTAGGATGCACACAGCACTTCTGCGTGACTTATCGATGGATAAATGAACATTATAGATTGAATTTCCCACCACCTCATGGTGACTCATCTGCAAAGTTACACAGATGTATGTATGTTGAACTTATTTGACACCGTGCTAATCGGGGATGTGATTCGCAAATATAATTTCTCACATATCGCGCTTGTCCGCGGATAACACATTCCTGCGGAGGGAGCTGGTAGGAACGTTGGGTTGCTCGGTCAATGGCCAGGGTCAACGGCGGCACCACGTGGTGTATTCCGCAAATATGCCCGACTGTGTGGGCGGGCACAAGCCGGCGTGAGTAGGTTAAACGTTGAGTTTTATAAGGGCACCACGGGGTGACCAGCCCCTCCCCACCCAGCCCCACCCCTCCCACCCCCCACCCAGCCCCTCCCCACCCTCCCCTCCCCACCCCCACCCTCCCCTCTCCACCCAGCTCCACCCCTCCCATGTTTGGATGCACGACGCACGGACGGACACAATAATCCCCTGTGGGCTGGTGGTGTAACCAGGAGGTTCCTAACAGTAATAGGAGATGTGAGTGATAGAGCCATGGATAAGAGGAGTGTCACAGTATATATATATTTTTTGTCATGGCAGGGCAACAAAGGAGGGGCAGTCTCCTGCTTGAACACTGATGGGCGGTTGTACGTGGTGGGGCTCGCCAGCTGGGGCCGCCAGTGCTCCCAGCCAGGCACTCCAGGAGTGTTCACCTTTATCTCCAAGTACAGCACCTGGATTAGCCAGCAGCAGCAGCAGGTGTAGAACAAACATTGGTGGCATCCACCTGCGGTACTGCGCACGTAAGTATGTGCTCTAATAATAACGATTCATAATTTAAACTTGTAATGCACTGCACAATATTCACTCGCTCTTGAAGAGAGACGAGCGGTAAAGCATCCAGGCGGTGAGCTGGTGCCAAATTACCCCCCTCCCCCATACCCCCCAAGCTCTGTGGTCCTCTATGTATTGAGATGTTATTGTCAGTTCGTAAGGGTTTACACGCAGGAGGAAACTGGAGCGCCCTGAGAAAACCCACACTTTTCCAAACACATGAAACGAGTGAAGTCCAACTTTGCTGTCCGACCTTGTCCTTGTAAGCCAGGTTATGGCACCTCGATGCATATGGGAAGGAAATTTCACAATTTGTCTGATCCACCAATCCTCACCTCCATACCGCTGGTATACAGACATACATACACCATCACCAACCGCAGGGAATGAGAGCCATCACTGCAGCCAATTGCACTTTGCACTGTGAGAGCTGGCCAAACGGATTGTAGCTGGCATCGCGTATTGCCAATTAATTACTATACCCTTTGGTTCTTTCGGTAAAGTCACGTAGGTAGAAAACAAATCACGACGTTTCGATCGCAACACAAGCGATCTTCATCAGGTGCGACAACCACAGCAAGAAAATGCTGAAGTCGGTGGGAGAGCTGCCGTGGCAAGAGGTTATATAGGTGAGAAAGGGGGAGGAGCAAGGGGGGAGAGAGAGGGGGGGTGTGGGGTAGGGGGAGGCCACGTGAGCGCTCGGGGAAAATGACGTGAGGCTGGGGGGGGGGGAAGTGGGCGGGGCTAGAAGTGGGAAGGTGGTGCAAGAACAGATAGAGGACGTGAGGTTGGGGGGGGGGGAAGTGGGCGGGGCTAGAAGTGGGAGGGTGGTGCAAGAACAGATAGAGGACGTGAGGCTGGGCGGGGGGGGGGGCTAGAAGTGGGAAGGTGGTGGAAGAACAGATAGAGGACGTGAGGCTGGGGGGGGGGGGGGGGGGGGAAGTGGGCGGGGCTAGAAGTGGGAGGGTGGTGGAAGAACAGATAGAGGACGTGAGGCTGGGGGGGGGGGAAGTGGGCGGGGCTAGAAGTGGGAGGGTGGTGGAAGAACAGATAGAGGACGTGAGGCTGGGGGGGAGGAAAGTGGGCGGGGCTAGCAGTACACCGGCAGGTAATGATGGAAACAACAACAAGTTAAGGCATTGCCTGGTTGATAACATCCTTCCAATGATTGTTCAATTTGTATCCATCTTCTCGGTTGAAGTTTTGTCTATGTTCATATATCTGGATGGCTTCATGAACAAACCTTTGATAGTAGCCCGAAGGTTTGCAGAGTGCCTTGGTCTCGGAAAAAAACAATATCATGCGAGCCCACAGCGTGGAATAGTGGTGGACATTATCCATTGTTGCTGGTGATGGTGAATGCGTGCTGTCATGGACATGGAAACGCCATAATTTGAACACGAAAAGTTTGCAATGTTTTATATTTTATGTTCACCACGATATGTTATGTAGGTGTAAGTGTTTAACGTCTCAGATAGTTTATAAAGATCACGCGATAAATCACGATATTTTTGCTAATCATTGCCAGTCAATACGTGAAATGATTTAATAAGTAGACTGTAAATTGCCTGATGCTGTATTGTCCCTGAAAAAGCCGTTACTAATGTAAACAAAAAGTAGATTATGTATGTATTAACTTGTGCATGTTAAGAAAAGGTGTATTGCAGAAGATCAGAGATCAAAGCCTTGTCACCAGTGATAGCCAATATTTTCATGGAGAAATTTGAATCAGACGCCATCCAGACTTCCACCCTCAGACCTTCCCTGTGGAAGAGATATGTGGATGACACTTTCGTCATTTGGCCACATGGCCTCCCAGCTCTGAACCTTTTCCTACACCACATCAATTCCAGACATCCTGCCATCAAATTCACCATGGAAGTGGAGAAAGATGGCAAGCTACCATTCTTAGACGTTCTGTTTGAGAGGAGACCTGATGACTCATTGGGGCATTCTGTCTACAGGAAACCCACCCACACAGATTCCTACTTGAAACCTGATTCCCACCACCACCCAGCCCAAAAGAATTCTCTCATCAAAACTTTATACCATAGGGCTCATTGCATTTCGGACCAACACCACCTGACCAGTGAATTAAAACATGTGCACCTGGCCCTCAAAAGGAATGGTTACTCTGACCGTACCATCCGCCAAGCTGTCTCTCCCTCCATACAGAAACAACCACTTGATACTCCGGTCGAAACCATCACACTTCCATATATAGCAGGCGTTACTAAAAAGATTTCCAAAATTCTAAACAAACACAAGATCCAGGTCCGGTTCAATACAGTACACAAAATTCGTGATCTGATCCCATCCGTGAAGGATGTCATTCCTGATTTACAGTACCCCCGGGTTTACAAATTGAGTTGTACCTGCGGTTATTGCTACATCGGTGAGACAAAGCGACATGTCTCTGACCGAATTCGCGAGCACAAATCAGATTTGAAACACGGCAAAACGTATTCTTCTGCCGTAGCTGATCACTGTTACAACGCTGTGAGGGATCACGATATAATTTTTTCCGATACCAAGGTTCTTTGCAAACCCACGGGCTTTTATCAGAGATTTGTTCATGAAGCAATTCAGTTCTACAAACACAGACACAATTTCAACCGAGAGGATGGTTTCAAATTAAGCAACCATTGGAAAGATGTTCTAAATCGAACTAAACATTAAACTAATTTCAATGGTACAGTATATTTTTCGAGTAGTAGTACCCCAAACGTTCGCAGCTCTTATAAATTCCCATTTTCACACCATCAATAGGTAAAATCCCCCTCCCCCCTTTCCCCCACCCCCCTCGCCAAACTGCATGTCCACCGGCACGTACACCACCTCTTTGCTCGCACACAGGTCCGATGTCTGAGCGTGGTTGTGTTTCGCTAAATTCTCCTGTTTGATGAGTACTAGGTGCCTCGGTGAATGTATATACTCTGACTTTAACATAGCTATTTCTGTGACCAGTTACTAGCTAATCACTCAGCTATTTAAATGCTAAATTCGATGCTAATTCCTTTGTCAAGAGGCACCTCTGCGGATGTGTATACTTTAACTTAGCTATTTCTATGAGCAATCTCAATGCTAAATTATATGCTAATTCCTTTGTCAAAGCCCGTGGTCTTCTTCTTCTTCTCACACAGCTTAAATGTCGTGATCTAAGCGTGGCTTCTTCCACTCCAGCGCTGTCCTCCAGACAGTCTCGTCCCTTCACCTGATGAAGGCCGCTTGTGTTGTGGCCGAAACGTCGTGATTTTTTGTTATTTTATTTTCTCCTACGTGACTTTACCCAATAGAACCAAAGAGTATGGATCCTAGCAGTCACGAAAGCTTTAAATCTAGAACCTGCATATATTGTTGTTTCTTGATGAGGACATTTCTCTAATTTTGTTTTGTGTTGTTCCTGTAGTAATTTCCCCTCGCTTGGGGCTGTGGATCAAGTACTCGGACAGCAAACGGAATAGCAAATAATGTGCACTCACCACTCCCTCTTACAACGTACCCCTCTTCAACACTCCTTATTGTAATCACGCCAGTGTTGTACTGCACACCTCAAACTCGTTTTAGTAAGGCGTCACGTCTAAATGTTAACGATTGACACACTGATCAACTGGTAAAAGGTTTAAAACAATACATGAATGCATGATCAACCAAATTTCTGAAAACATGCAATTTCAAAGTGTGCATTTAGTTTATATAATGCTGCTTATAGATCAGTTATTTGTTAAGACATGTTTGACACATAATCGACATTGACATCCTTGTTTGCGCACGATATGCTTAATTATCTAAGAATTATCTGTCATTGCCAAAAGCCATTTATCCACTAACCAACTTACAAATTCCTCATCAGTGCTGTGACGGATGTAAATTATGTAACCAAATGCAGATGATGCCATCCAATTTAAAATAACTCAGTCACTCGAATGTCACCTTACATTGCGTCGTATTACATTGTATAATACAATTAACCTTGAATACATGTAAGTAGCAATATGGTTTATATTACCACTCGGCATATGATGGGCACTACGAAAGTATCTACATATAATGTATTGTCTCCACATAGTGCGGCATATTCTCACAGTAACTAATTTTACATCGGACATGATCCACTTCACTGCTACTCCATTCTAATCTTTTTCTGAGGCAATATATAACATTGCCATATGCAATTATTACTTAGATTTACGGAAATTTAGCATGTATTACTAATTAACCCAATTTAAACCTCAAAATAATCTTGAAGTACCATATTTCGCTAACTTCCTTATGCAATTCGTTTTTTGTGAGGAAGTTAAGGCATCTTAAATCCTGTCAAGCATGGTATATTTTGTTCTCTTGTGTGATTTCACAATGAATATTTTCTGTCGTTCAATGCATCCAATGAATCTGAAACGTGCATGTTTACTATGATTTTACGATTATTATTGGTGACAGGGATAAAAAAATAATATTTATTAGTTTTAAATAATTCAGTGTATTATGAATATAGAATAAAGCAATACAAAGCATTGGTGTGTGTCTTCGCGTCTCCATGGAGCAATACGAGGAAAATAATAATGGAAAAGTGAAATAGTTGTTAAATATTTAAATTCACCAAGTGTAGCATTCACCAACTCCTCCTGTAAGCACCACAACAACAGTTGCCATTTGCCACTAAGTGGCGTTGTCATTACCATGGTGTTCGTGCCAGGCGATATGCACTTTGAGGCCATGTGAAAAGTATGAACGGTTCACTGGCAGGAGGCCGTGAGACAGAAGCGGGCTTCATGCGTTCACTGAGATGACTGGCATTTGCCACAGCCCCACACTCACCACTGCTGGCTTGCTATGATGTAACCACCAGACACGGCTAATTGCTGCGAGAATTTTATTCACACTGATATAATTTCACCTATAGAATAAAAATGTATGTTTTATGCATTAAAATATCATTTGAATACCGATTAGAAATGCTTCGATAAACACAATTAAAAACACAGAAGCTTTAAGCTATTTTTTAAAATGTAAAACGTGTAAATGAAATTGATATAGGCTGCAAAAATATAAATATAATTGTATTAACACTCACACTAAATACTGTATATATGTATAAACATAAAATTATCCAGCAGACTGGAATGGTCACATACCAACATGTGTTTCCTACACTGTAGTTACATGAATTTGATTGTGTTTCTGGCACATTCTTTTTAATATATATCAGCACATCTTTCAATATGGCACTATATTTCGTATGATTTATGATAGATTTCTTGGGTTAGAACAGGGGTCCCCAACCCCCGGGCCACGGACTGGTACCGGTCCGTGCCGTTCGGAACCGGGCCGCACAGCAGGAGGTGAGCGGTGGGCGAACGAGCGAAGCTTCATCATCTGTTATTGACAGATGATGGAGCTTCATCATCTGTTATTGACAGCCGCTCCCCATCGCTCGCATTACCGTCTGAGCTCTGCCTCCTGTCAGATCAGCGGCGGCATTAGATTCTAATAGGAGCGCGAACCCTACTGTCAACTGCGCATGCGAGGGATCTAGGTTGCGCACTCCTTATGAGAAGTCCATTATTTTATTGACCACTTCCGTCTACGCCTCTTTCCCGCACTGCGCACTCGTCTCAGTCACAGTTTTGGTAAGCCCACAAGCTAATCCCTAGTAGCCAAAAAGAGTAAAAAAGAAACGTCGCTGGAGAGCTTCTTTGAAAAGGGGGGAAAGACCCAATGATGACCGCCCCCCCCCCCCGGTCCGTGATAAAATAGTCTTCCACGAAACCGGTCCCTGGTGCCCTGGTTAGGCCACTTAATTGTCTGACCAAATCCATGCTGTTAAGTGGCTCCCACCATCTGACACAGACAAACAAATTGCCACGTTGTCTACAAGCATTTAACTTGCAGATGATTATTGTTTTGGCTCACCGGTAAGTTCAAAGGACAATACTCACAACCAATTTGATCAATTTGATATGACGTTTTGTTTGAAACTATATCACTATTTAAAACTTTTTTTTTAATTACCAGATAGGCTCACTGAGCTATAAGCTCTTTTTCAGAAGCGACCTGGCCACAAATGGTAGCTCAACGAAGTGGCTTACACGTGGAAAGTTATTACAGCCAAATACAGTACTCTAAACGCATCATCAGGAAAACATCCAGATATTCAGAGTAGCAATCCATAAAGTCAAGATAATTTTGACTTTCTTGATTGTGGTAAACATCAGTATGTGGCCTTACACAAATAAATAAATTATCAATCGTAATATTCTATGGTTCTTTCGGTAAAGTCACGTAGATAGAAAAAATAATCATACTTTTATTATTTTTTATTCACTTTATTTTCATTTTTATTATTTTATTGTTATTTTTCCTATCTACGTGACTTTACCAAAAGAACCATAGAATATGAATTTCTGCAGTCACGAATGTTTTAAGTCAAAATCAATCGTAATATTTACTGATCAAACCCTATGCTTTAAGTATAGATTGTTTAATACTAGTAGGAACGAAGTTGTAAACTGAGTGTACCAGCCTGCAAGAGATTAATGCGTCCGTCCGTCCGTCCCCTTTCAATACTTTAACGAAGTGAAATCTCGTGCTGTTGGGTGTAAAAAAATTCCAATGTTCCTACCAGCCCACCCTGCAAGGACCTGTTCTTTAATTTTAGTTTAAACACCATGCACGGATTTGAATAAAGATATTTAAATTGAGGAGTAATTTATATACAGCCATGGAAATGTACTCCCTTAGAACAAGCCATGCTGGAAAGTCATTTCCCATTCCCTACACCATCCCCATCACCGACGTCATCTGCAGGGGGATTCTCATTTCCTTCGAGCTGCCCCTCAATGTGCATCTCTCCCAGGCGTACAGCGATCCTGTCGCTCAGGTGCAGGTAGTCCGCACGGAGTTGCTGAAGTTCCAACTCCATCATTTCCTTCTCTCGGAGTGCATCCCGAGCCAGCTCCTCCTCCTGAAGCAAAGCCTCCCTGCTTCGTTTAGCTTCAGCTTCTGCCTGCACCCTGGCTCTGTTGGTCTCAGCCACCTCTCTCCGCAGAAGCTGCTTGTCTGCTCGAGGAATCCAAATAAAGTGAAAATCTAAATGTAAAGACATTTGTTTGGATGTATGTTGAACTTAGTTTTTGACCCGCTTTTGCACCATGCACAGCCAACCGTGCTAATCGGAGGTGCTAATCGGAATTGTTTCATTGTGTGCAGTCATTTTTCATGAGGGTGAGACCATCAACTCGTCACACTTCAGAACCCCAATTTCATGATGGATAACTGAACCTGGATTCATACCCAGATTCCCAGTAGTGCCAACGGATCGCTCTGATCGGTTCGCTGCCTGCCCACCTCGGGTGACCCTTCTCTATTGGTGTCTCCTAGCCAATGGTTTCCACTTTGCATGCTTCCTCACAACCAAAAACGGCAGTTGGAATCCCATTATATTATCATTCGCTCAATTGAATGCTATGCTTTTGTCCAATGTGGATTTTTGAAGGTATTTTTCGCGGCAACTACAACACTCATTATGCTTTTTCTACCCACGTGATCGAGTGTCGGAAACCTGCGGCTCCAGAGCCGCGTGTGGCTCGTTCAAGACTGCTTCGTGACTCGTTATTTATAAAGGACCGTCTCGTATTCACCACATGCATTGCGGCTCTTGAAACATTGTGTTTTGTGTTTTTTACCGAATTCGATTTTTTCTTTGGCTCTGTTTGTTATTTTGGTTGCTGACCCCTGCACATGATGAACAATGCCATATTTGTTAAATGTGTGTATTTTTTTCGTGGCTTATGGGTTTCTTTACAATACATATCTATAAATATAAAAATAGGCATATGTAAAAACTGAAAAAAATTGACTGCTCGCTTCAAGGAGACTTCCAAAAGGAAATGTAAAATAAACTGTAAAGGGCCCCAACATTCCTGGCTGCTGCCATGATGTGAAATATCACAAGCGAATTACTTATTTTGTTCTGTAGTTGTTTGACCATACTTCCCCATTATTGTCAATGCACATTCGTGGAGAAGAGGGCGGGGGGAACCGAGAACAGATTTAGATATCAATCGTCACTGATATGCAAAGTCAGGTGCATATCAGTAATATTTACTGAGAAAACCCTATGCTTTCAGTATAGATTGTTTAATCTTTAATTTTAGTTTAAACACCATGAACGGATTTGAATAAACATGTTTAAATTGAGGAGCAATTTATATACAGCCATGGAAATGTACTCTCTTAGAACAAGCCATGCTGGAAAGTCATTTCCCATTCCCTACTCGATCCCCATCACGGACGTCATCTGCAGGGGGATTCTCATTTCCTTCGAGCTGACCCTCAATGTGCATCTCTCCCAGGCGTACAGCGATCCTGTCGCTCAGGTGCAGGTAGTCCGCACGGAGTTGCTGAAGTTCCAACTCCATCATTTCCTTCTCTCGGAGTGCATCCCGAGACAGATCCTCCTCCTGAACAAAGCCTCCCTGCTTCGTCTAGCTTCAGCTAAACGAAGCAGGGAGCTACCTCTCTCCGCAGAAGCTGCTTGTCTGCTCGAGGAATCCAAATAAAGTGAAAATCTAAATGTAAAGACATATTTGTTTGGATGTATGTTGAACCGCTTTTGCACCATACACAGTCAACCGTGCTAATCGGAGGTGCTAATCGGAATTGTTTCATTGTGTGCCGTCATTTTTTTATGAGGGTGAGACCATCAACTCGTCACACTTCAGAACCCCAATTTCATGATGGATAACTGAACCTGGATTCATACCCAGATTCCCAGTAGTGCCAACGGATCGCTCTGATCGGTTCGCTGCCTGCCCACCTCGGGTGACCCTTCTCTATTGGTGTCTCCTAGCCAATGGTTTCCACTTTGCATGCTTCCTCACAACCAAAAACGGCAGTTGGAATCCCATTATATTATCATTCGCTCAATTGAATGCTATGCTTTTGTCCAATGTGGATTTTTGAAGGTATTTATCGCGGCAACTACAACACTCATTATGCTTTTTCTACCCACGTGATCGAGTGTCAGAAACCTGCGGCTCCAGAGCCGCGTGTGGCTCGTTCAAGACTGCTTCGTGACTCGTTATTTTTAAAGGACCGTCTCGTATTCACCAAATGCATTGCGGCTCTTGAAACATTGTGTTTTGTGTTTTTTACCGAATTCGATTTTTCTTTGGCTCTGTTTGTTATTTTGGTTGCTGACCCCTGCACATGATGAACAATGCCATATTTGTTAAATGTTTTTTTTCGTGGCTTATGAGTTTATTTACAATACATATCTATAAATATAAAAATAGGCATATGTAAAAACTGAAAAAAATTTACTGCTCGCTTCAAGGAGACTTCCAAAAGGAATTGTAAAATAAACTGTAAAGGGCCCCAACATTCCTGGCGGCTGCCATGATGTGAAATATCACAGGCGAATTACTTATTTTGTTCTGTAGTTGTTTGACCATACTTCCCCATTATTGTCAAAGTACATTCGTGGAGAAGAGGGCGGGGGGAACCGAGAACA